TTTGGAAAACTTTGCTTAGAAATGAAATTCACAAACAATATCATGTACTCTTGTAAGATGTCCATGCTGTAGTAACTAAATTCAAAGATAAAGTTCGTGTGTTCGAGCCTAACTGCGTACAAGGATTGATTTTGTCTTTTGATAGTAGTTTCAGAGTGATATAATGGAAATTTGTATTCTCGATTTCGTTCTGGTTTAAGGCTAGCACTTACACCAAACTGAAACAAATCCCGGATAATGGTTCTTATTTGCAGCCCTTACATCACTTCGTTTTACTTTCAACGCATTTTCTGTTCTTACAACGTTCGTGCTTCATTTCTGGGATCAAAGTACGAATTTGTATCAATTTATTCTGGTTTACTTATGTGCCGCCACATCCATCAAGTCTTCTCAGATAGGTTTATATCAAACTTGTTTGAAACGACTGAATAACTGGAAAAAGATATGGAGCTCGAGTTTGATTATTTTGAAGTTAATTGCTTTATGTACCTACTCATAAAAAGATGTGCTTAACCCTAGTACTACCAGCCTGGGTCATTTATGACCCGTTCTCAAAAATTTGGAAATATACTAGAAATATTTTGTTATTTTCCGATTTTTAGAATGAAATAGCATCTTTTACGAATTAATATATTCTGTTGAATCTGAAAAATGAATCATTTGTTTTTTTAATATCATTACAAGTCTTTGGTACAATATCATGTCTTTTGTATGCAAGAAACATGTGACAAGAAAGAGAATAAGTTAAATTTTGAATCCATAATCCAATGACTCATTTACTATTCTAGCTAGATATTTTCAATTCCTTAAAAAAGATTTGTTTTGGAGTGATTTCTAGCTATCCAATTGAGATGGTAGATAATTCATTCAATTATAGATGAAAGATGTGATTTGTCTCTCTTCCTTTTTATATAGATAGACATTGAGTAATAACATCAGAGGCGATGAATTTTTTTACATATTCAACTTTATATACCAATTTATTGTTTTACTCGATGCTGGTTTATATAGTGTATCTACGTTTGCTTTTCATTTATAGATTGAACACTTCTTTTTCTCATACAGTTTGAATAAAACTGTCTTGGAATATTATAAAAACGATTATTTTTTATTAGATGGGATATGAAAACAACACATTTTCTTATAGGACATCGATGCAAGCGTTAAAAAATCGATAAAAACATATGTTGTCAGTATAGTGCTTAAAAGAGGTTGGGTAGTACTAGGGTTAAAACATTTTCTCGTAAGTAGCGTTTTAAGACGGTCTTGGAACATCTGTTCGTGATTGACTCTTATAGAAATATATTGATTTTTCTTCGTTTGTCAAAAGATAGAAACAAATAGAAATATCCGAAAAAAACAATTGGAGAAAACGTACACACTATATAGTATTCCTTGGAATCATATTAATTGATACTATTCTAAATTACCTTTTTCTTCCGTTCTTTTTTTTGCTAAATTTACGTTGTGGATTTATTCAAGCGTTACAAAAGCTATATATTTATGTAGCATTAACGAAAGAAATGTTTCATGCATTTATAACCTCCTACGAAAGAAAATATTGCATACAGCTTTTTTTCGAAGAAGGATTTTCCTGTTTATGTGCTAGTGTCGAAACGTCCTTGAACCATATTGCATTTAATATGTTGATAGTCACAAGAAAACTTTTATAGCAAAGCTACTGAGTCGTCAAGATTGTTTCAGACAAACTTGTTTCACAGTTAGACGAAAAATAATATTTCCAAAACATATAGTTTGAATTTGTGACGAAATCTTCAACAGTGAATAACGTATCCTATATTACTCAACAATTTCTGGTAGTACTTCTGTTTGTGTGTAATGAGCACCGAGCCACAATTGCTTTATCGTGTGTCACATGCAGCATTCTGCACATGAGACAGATGAGCATACGCTTGATATAGAATTTTTTTTTCTTCTATTCTCCTGGGATGAGCCATGTGTAAAATCAAGATAATTTTGCATTCTTTTCGTCCTTCACCGATTGTGTCTACGTGTGCCCGCATGCAAAACGAACAAAAGGTACAATATCTACTGTTGCTGCTCAATGTATTCTTTCTTTTCTCTCGTGCATGTGTAGTCATCTACACAAAACGTGATGATTTAAAGTACTTGAGTGTTCTGCAGATCATTCGGCATGGATTGTCTACTAGAAATAGTTTGAACTAGAGTTATTGACCGTGACTGAATTGTGTTGCTTCAGGTGATTTATATAGTAAAGCCGATCAAACATATGAAATCACTTGCTCTATAGTGTAGGTTTCATCCAACGTTTCTATCTAAAAATATTCTAAAGTTCATATCAATTGATTATTTCATTTAGATTTCACTTCTCATGTAAGTAAAGCGAAATTAAATGAGTTCATCGTGTTTAGTCAACCGATGGAATCCATGATGGAAGGAGATACCTTATACTTGGGATTAATAGAAACAGTCAAAAATCAATAAGAACGACAAGTAATCAACCACAGAGATTCTACGTTAACTGGATTCATGAGATAAACGATGCAAGTCCACCAGCTTTTTGCGCCTCTTTTACTGGATGGTTCATGAGATATAAGCAATTTCTTTCTTTTCCGTAAAATATCAATAGCTCCTGACCCGAGAGAGATGAAAATTTTTCTTTCTACAAAAATGCAGCCACAACTCTACTCTATCGACGACATGAATTTCGTGAGTTGGCTGTTTGGAGTCAGTGAAATACAGCTATTTTACGGGCGAGGTAGGCCTTTTTTTTGTTGAAAATTCGAGGTTCTTTGAGAACAAAGTTCACAATTCCATCCAGGAGCATCATTTTGACTTCAAATTCGCACCAAAGACCACAGTTTCTATAGACTATCCAGCCAAAGTATGAAGGTTAACTATTGTGTGGTTCTGGAAATTCATTCAGGACGAGCACCCAAGATTCAAACATACGTAGAAGAGCGAAGGTGAAGAACTAAGGACCGCTTTTTGTACTGTATTATTTGCATTAAATGTACATCATAATTACGAAAAAATAATCATGGAAACACTTGGTTCAAAAAAATGTATGTGAAACTTTTGTCAGAAAGATTTATACACTCATTTCTAACCTTCGCTATTTCGCTTATTTTGTGCCTTTTTACCCCCCATATATTTTCAAGGAAAACTAATAACATATTTGAGACCAGCAGACAAAATTGGGTCCTTTATTTCACTGAATAATCAATACGTAATATTTACGAAAGTTATTCAGAGCGCAAAATCTCAGGACACAAATTCGCGTCGCCAGTACTCAAAGCGTTAAGTCTGCTTATTTTAAGTTAGCACTTACTTATCATAAAATGAAAATGAATGCCATTTAACGGAAAAACATCAAGGAAACCTGGGATACGTCTCATTTTGCTTAAAAATATTTACTCTATCTAATGACATTGTTTTCAAAAAGTTTTCTCTCCAACGATGGCACTTCACTTTTTGTTTGTTTTTAAAATCCTTCTTTTCGATAGAACCGATTTCCTCAGATTCTGATACAACTTTCTTATCTATCCGACTTGATAGGCTACATCTTCAACTACTCGCTGTTTCCATTCTCTCTCAGCCGCCGTGGTCGAGTGCAACAGTCGAAAAGAAAATTGTATAAAGACTTTTACACCTACTGTAGGTGCTTCATCAAGGTTGTAGTCTTCGTCTAAAGCAGTTGGTAGTTTTTTCATTTTCATGTGGAGGTGCGGAGCAGTAAGTAATTTGGCTGTTGAGTTCTAGTATTATTCATTTTATCCACTGCACTTGTTCGCTCGCCGTACTATTAAACCATGCTAGAGAGGACTACCGTACATGAGCACAGTTGATAAAGTAGCGAACCTCTGCTGTCATCATCATACATTGTCTCTGTTGTTTCATAAGCAAAATGTGATAATGTGTTAAAATGAAGGCTTTTAGTTATTAAATTGTAACCTATCTGAGTTGATAGTAGGGTAAAAATATATGTTAAAAAATGACCTTCAGCTTCATTTCTGTTTAGTTGTTTAAGGAAGATGATGTGTCAAGTACGATTTATGGTTGTGCATGTAGTGCTATGGATGTCTGTGTCAGGTGAATTTTAGTTCGTCCATCTGCCAAGAAGTTCTTGTGCGCCTTTGCGAACAGGGTGTAACCGGTATCAAAAATGCAATACCGGTACCGGTCACCGGTATACAAACTTCGTACCGGTACCGGCCTGTCTTGATCGTTTTTTGTCTAAATACAAACACTTTTTTCTTGTTTATAGAAATATGTCGTAGATGAACCGAATTTACATCCCAAAATTATCGTATTATATCGCAAAATACCAGTAATATCGATCGACTGATTATACTTCATATTAATACCGGTATACCGGTATACCGGTCACCGTTATAATTCATGCCGATATACCGGTCGCCGTTATAGTTCAGACCGGTTGCACCTCTGTTGGCGAGTGTCGCGTTATCTTTTGGTTTTAGCGTATTTATGGTACATTTGTCAAAATTAACTGTTTTGGTATCTTAGTTTCCAGTATAAATATCATCTGCATACTAAACTGCCTATGCACGCAGATGACGAGTGATCACTATCTATCGCCGACTTTCTCACAAGTTTTTCCCTTTGATTCTTTTGAAACATTACAGAGGATAAGAGGCACAGAAAACCACTATACTACAGAGCTAGGAAAAGTTTTGAAAAGTCTGGATGAGAGGATGAAGAACACATGGGGTTGAAGACATACAAGTTTTTCTCACCTATTATCAGCGGACAAGACGTTATTTTCTCCCAAAACTAACAAAAGCGATAGGTTTCGAAAAAAGCTTGATCGTTGGAAAGTCCGCAAACAAGACCATATAAAGGAACAAAATCTTCCCCCGTTCATCTCTAGTTCACAAAACGTATTTGTATATTTGACTTTTCCTCTACAGACTTTCTTATAAGACTTCACTTATTAGGTTAAAAAACCGGAATAGTCTTATTTCTTTTTAGAATAATTCGACTTTATATAAATCAAAATGTTAACTTTAATCGAAAATTTTCCTATTACAACAGGCCTTACATTAATTATAATGCTATTGTTAACTGCAATTCTGTATGAACAAATAACATTTATTTATAAACGTTCTTCGCTACCTGGTCCTCCATTGGTCATACCATTTTTTGGCAGTATATTTCAAATGGTCGGTAACCCCTATAATTTTTGGCATAAACAAATGTCATACGGTGCACTAAGTTGGAATTCAATAGTTGGTCAGTTTGTAGTTATGGTAACAGATGGTCATTTAGCACGACAAATATTTGAACAATGTTCAGAGAAAATGCCATTAATGTTAAATCCGAATGCTCATCGTTTATTGGGTAAAGATAATATTGCATTTATAAATGGACCAGTACACAAAAAACTACGTTCAACACTATTACCATTATTTACCACAAAAGCACTGACAATTTATTTAAACATACAAGAAAAAGCAATTAGAGAACATATTAAATATTGGTTAGAGTTATCGAGAAATACTGATCCCAATACTGGATTTGAGATGAGACAATTAATTTATGATTTAAATTTAAATACAAGTCTATCAGTATTTTTGGGTTCGTACATAGATGATTGTTCAAGAAAACAATTTAAATATGATTATCAAAGAATAACACAAGCGATGTATGCATTTCCATTTTTTCTACCAGGTACAAAACTATGGCAAGGATGCAAAGCTCGACGATCAATCTTAAACAATTTAAAATCAATTGTAAATGCGAGTAAAACTCGAATACAAGATCAGAAAGAAGAACCAACATGTTTACTAGATTTTTGGATGCTAAGCCTTCTGAATCAGGATGAAGAAAACAAACATAAAACAGACGAAGATATAGCTAAAGTAACATTAGATTTCATATTTGCTAGCCAAGATGCCTCAACATCATCATTAACATTTTCAGTTCATGAACTATCTCAAAATCCAAATGTTCTTGAAAAATTAAGAACGGAACAAAATTTATTACGTGGGAATAACAAATCAGGTCTAATTACACCTGATTTATTAACAAATATGAAATACACCTGGCAAGTAATGAGGGAAATATTACGTCTCAGACCACCAGCAACAATTGTTCCGCATATGACAAATGTTAGTTATAAAATAAATAGTGAATATACCATTCCAGCGGGTACAATTGTTGTTCCATCAATATGGTCATCAAATCGGCATGGTTTTAGTAATCCAGATCTGTTTGATCCAGAACGATTTAATAGTGAGAGAAATGAACATTCATTATTTGAAAAACAATTTTTAACATTTGGCTGTGGTCCTCATGCATGTATTGGTCAACGTTATGCACAAAATCATATCATGTTATTTTTATCTATTCTAAGCGATTATCAGTTTGAAAGACAAAATACATCAAATAAAGATGAAATTATTTATTTACCAACTATTTACCCAGCTGATGGGTGTAAGTTACGCTATTTACGAGAGATTTAGGGAGGGGGAGGGGGTGCGTCCAACCAGATTTGGTTCAAACTTTCCAAGGTTGTAGAGGACACTTCAAAATATATATGAAAAGAATCTGGAAGTCTCCGAATTCGTAGCTTTTTAGAAAATGTTTTTTTATTATTTTGCTCATTTTTTAAAACTTAATAAAATTTTACTTTTCAGTTGACTATCTCATTCAGTTTTCAGTCGATCATACTGATTCCGAATATGATAGCCGTTTTTCCCCAAAGGCCTTTCCTAACCGGTTTCTGAAAAACTAGTTTTTCAGAAACCTCGCAAAATCTCCAAGGGTTTTTCTAAATAAGTCACAACTGTAGCCCGCGAAATTCTGATTAAAATGAGACATCTCCCAGCTCTACACGACCTTTCTTTGCAAAGTTATAGAATTTACACGAAAAGCTCTAAATGTTTATTGTCAGCTCAGAGCTACAGAAAGAAGAAGGAAAGATGAATGTAAGGCTTTTCTTGTGAATTCTATAACTTTGCAAAGAAAGGTCATGTAGAGCTGGAAGATGTCTCATTTTAATCAGAATTTCGCGGGCTACAGTTGTGGCTTATTTAGAAAAACCCTTGGGGATTTTGCGAGGTTTCTGAAAAACTAGTTTTTCAGAAACCGGTTAGGAAAGGCCTATGGGGAAAAACGGCTATCATATTCGGAATCAGTATGATCGACCACCTATAGTCCACTAGGTTTCGGCTCGAAAGCGATTTGACAGTTGGATATATTCCCTCGTAAGACGCTGCACTGCGGAGAAAGGCGCTCAAATTTTGATGCTACTTTTTCTTTTCTACTAAGCCAGAAGAAAGTGCTCAAAAAATCAGAAACTCGTAGAACAAATCGAATGGAAGTGCCAAAACTAGAAAAATATAACGATGTTCAGAACTAGTTTTTCAGAGTCTGGGAAAAATGAGAAAGGAGTAGGGCGGATAAGACCCTCTCCTAATCGGAGAAATTTTCAAGGCAGATGGTATGTGAGAATATCTGAATACCAGGGTGAAAATATATATAAACTTCGATGTTTGAATCCATTGCCGCCAGACCATGATACATTAAGTTTTAGCAACATACGCGAGTATGTACAATAAAATTCGACTATGATCGTTCGACCCTAACCGGTTACGGAACGGATGATGTTGGAGATTATACACTAAAAGGTGTTTATTCAACTAGAAATCTAAAAATGGGCATTGTCAAAACGTATACGCTCGGCACAGGCCCGAATAGACGTCAGAACTTGGGACACGATGTTAATATTCAGTTGGAGTGGAATGAAAATCAGGGAGATTTTCAAGGCAAATGGTATGTGAGAACATCGGAATATCAGGGTGAAAATATATATAAACTTCGATGTTTGGTTCCATTGCCGCCAGACTATGATACATTAAGTTTTAGCAACATACGCGATTAGCAACATACGCGAATAATCCATTTGAGTTATATACCTTCGTGAAAAAGCTTTATTGCGCAAACCTGGTTAGAGAATAACATTAAGTGATAAACATTGATATTTCGTAGATTCACATACAACTAACAGATTTTGGAATGTAAACACAATTATCGAAGACTGTCGGCATACCTAAGTGCTTTACGTGTATTTTTTGTTCTTGAATAAATGTTCAATCACATGGGAAACAAACAGACTTTATTAAAATTTGTTTTTTCTCGTGAACTTTGAAAAGTAATGAGAACAAAAAGTTGTTTTTGTCGAACTCGAAATTTTTACGTTCTCAAAGATAGACATGTTTGTATGAGACCTGTCACTGGTAGCTGTTTGTTTTTGATGTAATACTGCACAAAAATATCTATATCTCCTTGGACTCACTCTGAAATCTTAGTTTTTGAAAAAACGTTTTCTAGAGATCTCGATCTACAGTCTTTTGCTATCTACATTGCTTTTTACACATATCATGACAAATTCATTGCAAAACCTCTGATGCTTATTGAGATGTAGGCAAATGCCTAGCCCATTTTATGTCAAAAAATCTGCTGCTTTCGAAAAAAAATCATTTTTGAATAACTCATATGTGCCTATATTCGAAATTAATATTTTTAATTTTTTACTCCCAAAAGTTAGTTTTAAAAATCGAAAACCGACTTTTTCCTATGCGACACGATGAGCTCTATGTAACCATAGGCAAAAAACGAAAAAGATTCTACTCAATTTTCGCATTGCAGGTACGTTACTTTTCGAAAATTGAACGAAGAAAGGAAAAAAATTCTGATTTCCCTCGAGTTTTTCTGCCCTAACTTTAAAATTTCATTAGAAACAGATATGAAGAGTTGATTGTAGCGTAGTTCGATAGAGAACATTAAATTGTATAAGGGAGGAAACTCAAAATAATTCTCGGATGGAGTTTCGACATAGAACTTTAACTTTTACCTTTTCGATGGGATTTCAGCGCTAAAAGTATTTTCAACATCAGTTCCATTCATATTATTTTCAACTTTAATTCGAGTAACAAAGCTCTTGACTACTCCTACAACTTAAAAACTTTTCTCACATACTATACTCATCTTTGTAACATGACTGTGATTATCAATAAATTTCTCCACACCACTGAAAGTGATCGTCAGTATTTTACTGGGATTTTTCATTTTACGGACAACGATAAATGTGTAAAAATATAACTATAGTTTAAATTGTGGCTATTTTACTGTACAGAAAAAAACAAGCATGACTTTCTCTCCAGAGGTGAATAACATTGTACTCCACATACAAAAACATTTTGGTTTCTATTTATAATGTTATTGTGTATGGAGCTACAAAATGTTTATTGATAAATGTTCCGCTATTTCATTTCTATGCATTCTTTCTTTTTAATCAAATATGTAAAAATAATGTGAAGATAAAATGTGATTTCGTACGCTGATACAATGCGGTTATTAATAAAAGTATTGGAATTTGGAGTGAATATGACTTGAAAGACTGATAGATTCCTTGACAGATTTCATATATAAGTGCTTCTTTCCACCCCATATTCCAGTTTCAGCGCTGTTATTAATAAAAGTATTGTAGCTCACCAAGAATATAAGTTGAAAAGCTGGCAAACCCCTAGCAGTAAAGTTTGTGTCATGCAAATATTGTTGAGATAAGTAGATCTCAATTGTTACAACTTGCTCAAATTATAGTTTTTCCGTATTTCTCCTATATGACGTAAGTGGACAAAAATCTTTACACTAGTGTGATAGGGCTGTATTTGATAGTATAAAAATTAAATCTAAATAATGAGTGTTTCTAGAAATATTGAATTTTTGTAAAAGGAGGGTTCCCAATAAAGGGCGGTTTTCTTCAAAGCCCCATAGTAAGGTCGTGTGACGAAACTGAGCACACCGTTAAAAGCAGCATGTAATAAGACCCAAACCCCTAGGTGGTTTCAAAAAATATTTTGCTGATGATGACCTGCAAAAAAAATTAATTTCGTGCAAGTCGCCTATTCCTAGCAGATCTAAGAAGATAAGGCATCGCATCGTTTCAACAAAATAACATCTCAAGACATTTTTGCTCTTTTGTACCCATAGTCTGTTTTATGTTCTAGATTTTACAAAATATGTTTTTCTACCTCTTACAGAGACCGTCTATATTTCTCTCTTTCTCTCACTCTTACCAAAAACAAATGTATTTTACTCCTTCTGTTTATTTCTTCAGTCATATTGGTTTTAACTTTACATCACGTTAAACGTCTCTGTTGTCTTAAAAATGAAAATGAAAATTTTCGAAATGTTGACTTTTTTTATAATGAAAAACGTTTAAATTTTTTTCAATTTTCAATTTTTGTTAAATAAATATGAATCTAAAAGTAGTAGATGTTTTATCAATTCTAAAATTTCTACCTCTGAATAGGTATAATGTTTCGATCAAGAAGTTATTAAGAACATCTAGCATCAATAGTTTGATAAAACTAACTACTGTTTATACCACAATAGAATAAGTGTAGATTATGAATAACGTCTAATTAAAAAGAGAAAGAGACTTGCGGGTTCTGCCGTTCGAAAATGGACACTACTGGACGTGAACCTTTTATAAAGTATAATTTCTATAGAGACCAGCCAAGCGTAAAACAAAATCCACTGTCGCCCGATTCGTCTAGATTACTAGATTTGCTTGTAGCTATTGGGTAACGCCCGATAATCAATCGATTTTAACTATTGCTAATACACATGCAGACGCATCTAGTTAAAAGACCCCCCCCCGCCACATAATAGAAGACCTATTTGGAATTCAAGTCATATAGTTGGCGGTGGTCTTCTATTGTGGAGAGGGGGATTAGTAATCCAGATGGCAACTAGTCGTGTATCGCCCGATTACCGACGAAATCTATCTAGATTTTTCCCATAGGTGATGTTTGCTTGGGCAGAAGGCGCTTTAATCGAAGAATTTTTGGAAATCCAGATCGTCACACCACTATAGCACCATGGACTTTGAATTGTCGAAACATGTGTTCACAATTTTGATGAAAATAGCCCAAAATGAGTTTACTCCATCTAATATAAGTGGACAACAAACTTTCGAATTTTCCTATCTAAGGTTTCCCGGTTCTGTTTAGGGCGAATTATTTTAGAATACCTCATGTACAATCGTTTCCCAAAGTCACGATGTCAGCATCAATAAACAAAGTAAGACATCGACATTTTAAACCATATAGAACTTTTTCAAAATGAATAAACAGCTCCAGAAAAAACAAATCAACTATCGCCACCTTTTTTAAAAAATTCAATTTTCGATTCATCAAAATACGATTCGAAGTTTTCTTTTTTGCTTCATCGTATAGAAAAGTGTTTAAACGCATGTTCTCAGGTTGACATTTTATCGGTACTACTGTTCAAAAGTTTATTTTCAACAAATTTCGATATTCAAAGAAAATTTTTAGCTCTCTGTGATTTGAGACTACCCGGAGCTCTGGGTATTTCACTACTCGAGAACTATAGGAGAAACAAAGTGGAAAAAAACGTGACGTAATTCACTGCGGTAGCAGAGTTAGCTGGCCAAGCCGTCTGGTAGTGGATTAAAAAGCAAAAGACTGACAATTCTCTCACAAAGTTTGGAGTCGACTGGCTAAAATTTTTATCTGAAAAAACCTATCTCATTCACCTTAATATGCATTTTTACCTTCATTACATGACTAATATCCTTAGGCAAGATTCATGGTAATGAGAGAAGCTACATCATTACTTCTTTTCGATTATGGAAACTTGTTTGATTTCTGTTCTTTGCTGCGAAGAATGATGAGGTTGTTGCTATAATATTTCATTAAATATACTATTTATTTTGTGTAACTCTCCGGCTGAATTTCTCTGAAAGCGGACAACAAGGAGGTAAAGTTTGTAAAGACAAAAAATTGCTGAAAACCGGAAATTTCAGACATCTCATACTGCTCTTCCCTCCTCCAAACGAACTCACGGACAATTCAGTACCAAGGTCTGCGCTGATAAGCTTTTTCCTCTTGAGCGTCATCATTCTTAAAAATTATATGTTGGCGACAAGAAAGAAAAATAATATTGACTCATACATAAACAACGACACCGTTCTCTTTCTTCTTTGGGTATGGCTGATTATTGTTTTTTACTCTGTACATAAAGAAGTGCTTGATCATTTTCACCAAAAAGCAGAAAAACAAGCATGCATCATCTTAAAACTGTTTATATATTACCTGCTATTCTTGCTTTACTTTTAATCGTTCAGGTCCAGTCACAGCGAGGTGGTGGTGGTGGTGGCGGTGGATCGTCTGGAGGAGGTGGAGGTTAAATGTCATACATCAAGGACGTCTATTAAATAGTAAGACGTTACATCTCATCTTCAGTCGATCACTTGCCGTCGAAGAATGGACAAGCTGTTGGTTTTCGTCCTCGATTAACGGGGTAAATGATAAAATATTATGCATTTCGATGTTCTTATCGTCTTTTTAACTTTTATTGACTACATTTATCATAGAGCTTTATTTATTAAGCCTACTACTGTAGTTTATACTATTTTTTCACGATGAAATGGAGATCCTTTATCTCACTTTGACTTTTAGACAGAAAGCTGGTCAAATATTTCTTGCATCCAACAGTGGATTCAAATCCGCCTTTCATAAAACAGCCTAAATCAAGATTGCTTATTTGTTACTTACACACCTGCTATGGGTGATAACACGACTCATCTGATAGTGTTATTCGGTATTGAGTTAGCGTCGATTGTGAGAAGGGTGGCTCGTTACTTTACTTCAATTTTAACTTTATGGATTCAGTTGTACCAACTCATTCAATGTTTTATGATACTCAGATTAGTAACTGAAGCACGAGAACTTTCACGGAAGTTTGTAACTGTAATATTTCTCAAGTTCACACACAGAACGTTGGCTATTATCGGCTCTTTCGCGAACCGAGTACTGTCATTATAACAACTTCTTACTAGCTGTCCTGCTTCATATACATAAGAGTACGTGAAACAGGATTCCAGTTCGCAGAAGAGTCATGTTAGGAAAGATAACAATACTGAATATGCTTAGAACTTTATTAATGAAGAGTCCAGTTGTTCAGTGCTCAAGGTACCAAAACTTTGCGACATTAAGCAGAAAAAACGCTCCGAAAAGTAAGCACTTTCGGAAAATCCAAAACAAGAATATTTTACAAGAAGTCCCAAAATATTTTAACCCCCCTTTTCCCCTGTCCTGATCTTCCGTTACATACTTAAAGTATGGCTTTTTATAGCGGTGGTGGAGCTTATTTTATTGGATCGGGCGGTGGAGGAGGATCATGTGGTCAAACGTGTGGAATCGTACTTGGTTCCATTTTCGGAACAATTGCAATGGCGTTAATCAGCGTCTTTTCGTGCGTTTGTATTCGAAAATATTGGAGAGGCAGACCGTTCTATTCTCCAAGTCAATGGGTCAACAAGACTAAACCATTTAAGCGAGCTCTTCAAGAACATCCCGACATATTTCAATCCGGTTCATGGTCCGGTGAATATTTTCAAGATGGTCATTATCACCAATTGCCAGTATGTACAATAAAATTCGACTATGATCGTTCGACCCTAACCGGTTACGGAACGGATGATGTTGGAGATTATACACTAAAAGGTGTTTATTCAACTAGAAATCTAAAAATGGGCATTGTCAAAACGTATACGCTCGGCACAGGCCCGAATAGACGTCAGAACTTGGGACACGATGTTAATATTCAGTTGGAGTGGAATGAAAATCAGGGAGATTTTCAAGGCAAATGGTATGTGAGAACATCGGAATATCAGGGTGAAAATATATATAAACTTCGATGTTTGGTTCCATTGCCGCCAGACTATGATACATTAAGTTTTAGCAACATACGCGATTAGCAACATACGCGAATAATCCATTTGAGTTATATACCTTCGTGAAAAAGCTTTATTGCGCAAACCTGGTTAGAGAATAACATTAAGTGATAAACATTGATATTTCGTAGATTCACATACAACTAACAGATTTTGGAATGTAAACACAATTATCGAAGACTGTCGGCATACCTAAGTGCTTTACGTGTATTTTTTGTTCTTGAATAAATGTTCAATCACATGGGAAACAAACAGACTTTATTAAAATTTGTTTTTTCTCGTGAACTTTGAAAAGTAATGAGAACAAAAAGTTGTTTTTGTCAAACTCGAAATTTTTACGTTCTCAAAGATAGACATGTTTGTATGAGACCCGTCACTGGTAGCTGTTTGTTTTTGATGTACTACTGCACAAAACTATCTACATATTCTATGATCCTAAGTCGACCGACGGAGCCAGTTTCCTCTAAAATTTGAGCGAACAATCGTATTGTAGAGATACATTATAAGAGTGGAACCACATCAAATACAATCGTGCTACAAAACTAACAGCTAACATAATCTGTATCATCTTTAGAATAAGAATTTGTTTTCTGTGCAATAGTTTTTAGGATCTCATTCCGGTAAATTGAACTACCAACGTTAAATGCTAGTTTTTTCCTGATATATTAACGATTCAAAAGTGACCATCTTGGACATTTTGCAGCATTCTTGTTAATCTTGACCTCATGTGTACCCTTCGGTTTCTACTACACTGTGAAAAATATTTTTTTTTATGCACAGTTTATTCACTTGAAGTGAATAAAGCATTTACTTGTTGTGTATAATTTATGCGCTTTAAGTGTATATTTCGGTCAAATTTTTGTCCATGTACTTGTCATCTACAGTACATCCACTTTCCATCTACTGTATCCATGTACTTACTTTTGCTGCAGTGAATATAAAATGAGCCGTTTATTCACTGGTTATTCAGTAGGTGCGATGTACATGAATTTGCCTCATTCACTTCAAGAAGAAGTAAATAAAATTATTTGCTTGCCATTTACATGCATTTCAAATGAATAACAGAAGAAGAACAAAAAGAAAAGACTATTCAGCGCGTTTTCGCCATCTCATAATGTGTGTTTAAAAGAAGAAAATGAAGATTGAAAGCTTGCTTTCCGTTGGAACATAGAGATAATGTGAAATTATTCCGCATTTTTGTTTTATATGACATGTTAGTATTCACTATAGTTTATCCTGTCTTCCGTATAAAGGGTGGCTCAGAAGTCCTGACCCGATTTGAGTAATAAATTTTTCTATAATGAAACAAGTGATAGTAAATCTGTCTCTATGAAGAAAAGATGCAGTAAAAAACGCTCTACAAGATGACTATCGATTGACCCTGCTAGCTCATCTAGTAAGAATGTTATAGGCTTAGAAATGTGCTTCACAAAAAAGAAAAATCAATCGTGAACCCGGTCCATATGGTGGTGCTTTCAGTAAAAGCCCCATAACTTCATCAGAACAAAACGTTTTTCGATCGGGTTTGTTTTGCTTTGATCAGAAATGATTACTCTTCTCTACCTAGTTGCAATATCAAGACTTCGATCACGTTTTCCGTTTCTTGCTGGGTACACTGTTGGAAACGGGGTAGTCGATTTTTGACATATTTTTGAAACTTGATTCTCAAGCACACCATCTGCTCTAAAAAGTCTTTTTACAAACCACAAGAAAAAGCATATTTAAAAGTACCCAACACAAATTGTGTTGTCGCTTTTGCTTCGCTTTTTTTACGGAAATAATAGGAGAAGAAGAAGGTTAAGTAAAACAAACCAAATTTACAAAGTTTTTAGTTTTTTCGCCTCGTGTATAATTTGCTTAGTTTTCTTGATTGAAGTTCTGAAATTAAAGTGTAGGTACGGATTTTATAGAGAATTTCACGACGCTTCTATTAAAAAAAGAACTTATTCTAGGGGACCTAAGGAACAGGAGTTAGAGGAAAAATACCGAGACCGGATTCACGGTTGATTTTTCTTTTTTGTGAAGCACATTTCTAAGCCTATAACATTCTTACTAGATGAGCTAACAGGGTCAATCAATAGTCATCTTGTAGAGCGTTTTTTACTGCATCTTTTCTTCATAAAGACAAATTTATTATCACTTGTTTCACTATAGAAAAATTTATTATTCAAATCGGGTCAGGACTTCTGGGCCACCCTTTATAGTACTGATCGGCTCGAATAAAATGAATCATTTTTGGAACCTAAACTTCTCTGATGAAACAACGTTTTGAAGTTTCGATTTATAATCAAAAAGTTCAAAATTTAATTCCCTACCAAACTGCTTAACATTTAAAGTATTAGAGTATCTCACTTCTCAAAACTGTCCCGTCTATTCAAGGATCATATTGTGTGGAGAAGCATTATGAATTAAAGCAAAATACATCAATATAGTCTCCAGCAAATGCTGCATATTTTCATCATGTACATAAAACTGTCGAACTAAGGAAAGCGCATAAGAAAGCTGATTATTAGAAGTGGCTTATTTGTGAAGTAGTCTGCATAATTTTGCTATCCACATTTCGAGCTTCATGTTTTCTCCGTTGTGTCTCAATGAAACCATCATTTTATGTGAAAGGTAGCGTAGTTTACTCTGCACTTTACCTCTTTTTGTATCATATTCATGAATTTGCAATTTGAACGAAAAACTGGTGATAGTGTAATTTTTACTTTGTTAGCAAAGTATCTAGTTTTAGGCCTCGGTTCTTGAGACGGAAAATAACAACGTTTAGAAAATTAGTAAAGCGCTATAGGCCTTCGAATTGTGCATCTTTTGGTCGGATTTTGAACTGAACGATCAAGAATGCTTTACAACAAATTTAAGTCTGAACAGTGTAGTTTTAAACACTAGTCCACTCTAGTACTTTAAGTATTACGCAGAGAAATCTTAACTGATTTCGGTGCCCAATTAAGCCCCTCTTTGCTTGGCTATTCTACTGTTCCCACTTTCGAAGACTGAATCTAATTCAATGTTTGCTTACTTTTAGATTTAATAACAATTTCGTATTATTGTTGTTATTAATCAACACGCCTTATTTTCAATAGCATTGAACTATTCTCTAACATAGAATTTGTTTCACGGTCGGTGTGTTATTGTCGTTTTCTGATTGTTTATTTAACACTAGAACGCCTGTAGCGGTCATATTGACCGTTTTTTGATTTTTATCCCTAATAAAACAAACTGCATACAATTTATTTAAAAATAAATTATGCCATAAAACTTTTACAATTATTTTTTGCAGAATTTTTAATTCATTTTTTAATTCAGAACCATTGTTAATATAAAAATAACAGTAACGGTCAAAATGACCGCTCTGGCCGTTCTAGCTCATGAAAAATTTATTGAAATCAATTTTCTCCGATCTAGTCTATTTATTTCTGTGTCCACAGCTATTACCTATGCTGTTTATGAGATAAAAAAACCTAGTAAGAATGGTATTTCCACGGGGAAAAGGTATCACGTTCATCGTGAGAAAAGTGTCCAGTTTTCTAATGCGGAAGTAAACAAGTTCAGAGCTCATTTTCTAAGGGCTAATCGTTTCATCATCCCAATGTCATTTATTCTAGCTTATCGTACTAACGAAAGAAAGCTGTTTATTTTGCTTGGCACTCATGAATAAAATTACAAAAAGTAAATAAATACAGTTTAAACTAAAAAAATACTAGTTCGTTGGGAAAAGCGCCTATCATGTACTAAAAATCGGCAATTAATCGTGAAAAATCATACGATTAATCGTGCGCTTAATCGCGATTAATTGCCGATTTCTCGGTGATTTTTAGGCGATTTTAGCGAGTAATCGCAATTAATTGACGATTTTTTCTAGGTACTAAATTCGAATCCATCTTAGGAAATACATATTTTTTTCTGTTTTTTCATTGTTTATTATGTATAATGACATGTGTGTCACACAACAATGGTCTTAGCATCAGCTGACGTCGGAGTCTTGCCGACGAGCCACCTTTAAACATTGCCTACATAGCAGCTGTTCAGTATGCTTCTGGGTTTTAAGCTCTGAGGAACAATGGAGAAGACTCTTGACAACTCCATTGTATTCTAAAATAAAAAGATGATCTAAATATAAGTGTATTTTTCGCTGAAATCGTGTTTCTTATATACAAACTTTATTGCAAAAGAAAACGGTGAATAACAACAACCATTTAATCACTTAAAATCAACAATTAATCGCAATTAATTGATGATT